GATGCAAAAATCCTCAATAAAATACAGGCAAACCAAATCCAGCAGCACATCAAAAAGCTTATCCACCATGATCAAGTTGGTTCATCCCTGGGATGCAAGGCTGGTTCAACATATGCAAATCAATAAACGTAATCCATCATATAAACAGAACCAAAGACAAGAACCACATGATTATCTCAATAAATGCAGAAAAGGCCTTCAACAAAATTCAACAGCCCTTCATGCTAAAAACTCTCAATAAGCTAGGTACTGATGGGATGTATCTCAAAATAATAAGAGCTATTTATGACAAGCCCCCAGCCAATACCATACTGAACTGGCAAAAACTGGAAGCATTCCCTTTGAAAACTGGCGTTAAGACAGGGATGCCCTCTCTCACCACTCCTATTCAATGTAGTGTTAGAAGTTCTGGCCAGGGCAATCAGGCAAGAGAAAGAAATAAAGCATGTTCAATTAGGAAAACAGGAAGTCAAATTGTCCTTGTTTGCAGATGACATGACTGTATATTTAGAAAATCCCATCATCTCAGCCCCAAATCTCCTTAAACTGACAAGCAACTTCAGCAAAGTCTCAGGATACAAAGTCAATGTGCAAAAATCACAAGCATTCCTGTACACCAATAACAGACAAACAGAAAGCCAAATCACAAGTGAACTCCCATTCACAATTGCTTCAAAGAGAATAAAATACCTAGGAAGCCAACTTACAAGGGGTGTGAAGGACCTCTTCAAGGAGAACTACAAACCACTGCTCAACAAAATAAAAGAGGACATAAACAAATGGAAGAACATTCCGTGCTCATGGATAGGAAGAATCATTATCGTGAAAATGGCCATACTGCCCAAGGTAATTTATAGATTCTATGCCATCCCCATCAAGCTACCAATGACTTTCTTCATAGAATTGGAAAAAACTACTTTAAAGTTCATACGGAACCAAAAAAGGGCCTGCATTACCAAGACAATCCTAAGCCAAAAGAACAAAACTGGAGACATCACAGTACCTGACTTCAAACTATACTACAAGGCTACAGTAACTGAAACAGCATGGTACTGGTACCAAAACAGAGATTTAGACCAATGGAACAGAACAGAGCCCTCAGAAATAACACTACACATTTACAACCATCTGATCTTTGACAAACTGTACAAAAACAAGAAATGAGGAAAGGTTTCCCTATTTAATAAATGGTGCTAGGAAAACTGGCTAGACGTATGTAGAAAGCTGAAACTGGATCCCTTCCTTACACCTTGTATAAAAATTGATTCAAGTGGATTAAAGACTTAAATGTTAGATCTAAAACCATAAAAATCCTAGAGGAAAACCTAGGCGATACCATTCAGGACATAGGCATGGGCAAGGATGTCGTGACTAAAACACCAAAAGCAATGGCAACAAAAGCCAAAATAGACAAATGGGATCTAATTAAACTAAAGAGCACAGCAAAATAAACTACCATCAGAGTGAACAGGCAACCTACAGAATGGGAGAAAATTTTTGCAATCTACCCATCTGGCAAAGGGTAATACCCAGAATCTACAAATAACTTTAAAAATTTACAAGAAAAAATCAACCCCATCAAAAAGTGGGCAAAGGATGTGGACAGATATTTCTCAAAAGAAGACATTTATGCAGGCAACAGACACATGAAAAACTGCTCATCATCACTGGCCATCAGAGAAATGCAAATTGAAACCACAATGAAGATACCATCTCTCACCAGTTAGAATGGTGATCATTAAGGAATCAGGAAACAACAGGTGCTGGAGAGGATGTGGAGAAATAGGAACACTTTTACACTGTTGGTGGGACTGTAAACTAGTTCAACCATTGTGGAAGACATTGTGGCGATTCCTCAAGGATCTGGAACTAGAAATACCATTTGACCCAGCAATTCCATTACTGGATATATACCCAAAGGATTATAAATCATGCTACCATATAGACACATGCACACATATGTTTATTGTGGCACGATTCACAAGAGCAAAGACTTGGAACCAACCCAAATGTCCATCAATGATAGAATGGATTAAGAAAATGTGAAACATATACACCATAAAATACTATGCAGCCATAGAAAAAGGATGAGTTTATGTCATTTGTAGGGATGTGGATGAAGCTGGAAACCATTCTGAGCAATGTTGCGGAAGGACAGAAAACCAAACACTGCGTGTTCTGACTCATAGGTGGGAATTGAACAAGGAGAACACTTGGACACAGGGTGGGGAACATCACACACCGGGGTCTGTCATGGGGTCGCGGGAGGGGGAAGGGATAGTATTAGGAGAAACACCTAATGTAAATGACGAGTTAATGGGTGCAGTACACCAACATGGCACATGTATACCTACGTAACAAACCTGCACGTTGTGCACATGTACCGTAGAATTTAAAATATAATTTAAAAAAATAAAAAAGAGGACCACTTGGCCTAATTTTATCCACTTCCTCTATCAGAAACTTGATCTTTACGAATAAAGCAGAAGCTTCCCTAATCTAGGTGTTTATGTATAATAATATGTTGAAGGTTCTTTACTGTAAAAATGACAAATGGATATGACAGTGAGTCAATCTGCAACGGGAACTACTTGTAAAGTGTGTCTGTCTTACATTCATATAGTCCTAGCACTACATGGAAATACTGTGAATTCTGTCATCAAGGCCTAGTTCTGCATTATTAGTGAACTAATGACAACTTTTAATCAATGTGCCTGCACTGATTTTTAACTTGTCGAATTCCATTTTCAGGATTCATAGATTCTTTCTTGTGTGAACCACCCCATCTTTGTCTTTGCTATATGCCGTGCTTGAATATTCTCTTTTTTAGATGTGGAAAATTCATTGCTAATTTTTATCTTTGCTTGTGCTCTTATTCAGTATACAGTTTCAGATTGAGTCTTATCAATTGCTTTCTACAGATTCTCCTGTTTCCCTCCAACATGTAAATTACAGGCTAGCTGTTGTACCTGTTGACAAAGAAATGGCTGAATGATTTTACAGCTCTCCAGCTTAACCTGATCACATTGTCTGTATAGAGATGATGATGGTTTTCTTTTTCTTTATTCCCAGAGGGATCAGCATTTGTATTACATTGTGGCAATAGTAAGGGAATTTTAAAATTCATTTGGAGTGGGAATCTCTTTTAGCTTAGAGTACGAAGCTGAAATAGATCTATTTTGTGCTTCATTCACACTTCCTGTATTACACCATTAAACATCCTCCCAGGGACCAGAAGATTCGGGAGATTTTGTTTAATCACTTCATGCCCAATATCATGGGGACCACATTTGCAGGATGTGGGGCATGATAACCCCCTGTGGTTAGGATAACAGCTGTTCTCAGTTGTAACACAAGCAATACAAAGTGAAATACTCACAAAATTATCCTAAGGGCTGTGGTAGGAAGGAAGAATGTTATAGAGGTTGATTTTCCTACATCCATATAATTGGTATATTGTAAAGCCTAGTTTGGACTCAAGTCCATGCTTTTTCTTTTGCTTTGTTAACTGTATTTATTTTTACTTTGCACTCTATCCTTGAAGAGGATGTGTGAGAGCTGCCTGCCTTTCATGAGAAGAAAGTGTTAGTACGCTGAAGGCTGAAGAGAATTTGGTTGCTATTAATGTACCATGTAATGGTACCATGTAATGTGTAATATGCAAAAAAGCACATCCTACTGCCTACCAGACCCTCATCAGCTTTCTCATACATTTCTGTATACTCTTCATGTTGTACTGGGAAAACAGTTCAGAACACCACTCTGTGGGAAGATGGGACCCAATGCAGATGGGATATAGTTTAATCTTCATGTGTTGGAGAGTGAGTAACTGCATACCAGAGGTTTTCAAAATGTGGTTCCTGGACCAGCAGCATCAGCATCTCCTGGGAACATGTTAGAAATACAAACTGCCCCAAATCGACTGAATCAGAAAATCTAGGGGTGAGGTAGTTTAACAATTTCTTCAGGTAATTCTGATGCATTAAAATTTGGGAACTGTTGCTACAATCAGGACTCAGGCAACGATTTTGTTCACAATTTGTCCTTAATTGTGAAGATTGTTGTGTAAAATATTTTTTAGTGATAGAATGTCAGATACAGAGATCCTTCCCATCGTGTAGCCACGGAGTATGTGTTAAGCACCTACTGTATGCAGAAGAGTATGCTAGCTACTGTAGCAAAAGGAAAGATGAATAAAATGTGGTTGCAACCATCCGTGAGCTCAATTTGCCAATGAAATAGAGATGTAAGTAGCACAGCAGCCTGCCTCATTGGTGGCTATGGGTAATACCCTTTTGCAAAATGAAAAATATGTGCTAAATTCACCATTGTACCATTGATCTTACCAAACCACCTTTTGCTGTCTTCAGGGATGAAGAAATGGAGGGTGCTCATTAAAAGCTTAACAGTTTCAACCATAATGTTCATATGGTTAGCGACTGAAATAGAATGCAGCCTCACACTTCTTTGCCACTGCTTTTGCCTTACAAATTTGCCCCAAACCTGGGAGCCTGAGGTAGATCCGGATTACAAAGCCATCTTCTACCTGTTCAGCAATTAAACAAATTCGCAATAGACTTTTCCTTCTATTTAACTTTTATTAAAAGAAGTGCTAAGGTACTGAGATGCAGTACATCATATTTATTACCAAAATTATTAACAAATATACAAAACTTGTACATGTAATTTTCTTACATCCATTTATTCTCTATAATACTGATTTTTGTTCAAGTAGGTTATCTACAGTATGTAAACATCCCTTGGATTGACGTCACACAGATTAGGAAAGCCCTCTAACCCATGCTTTTATCAGATACTTCTTTTTATTTGGCTTTCATTTGTAGCATCTAATCTCCACATTTGGCACATGGAAGAGACATCTACAGTGCAAAAGAGGCAGGTTTTTCTGGTTTCATTCTGAACAATTTTGCAGGGGCACAGTTAAAGAGCTGAGAGGAGACGCGAGCACTCTAACTTGATGGCGTTGGATGAGCTGTAATGCCAACATCTCTTGGTTCAGCCACTAAACTTGAGCATAAAGTCAATGTCTCTTCCTTCACCCACCCTCCCACCCATCCACCCCCATGCAAGGCTGATTCAGTTTTAACCTTGTCTCAAAAGGGTTACGATAAATTCCATCCATTCCAGAACAAGTAGGTTAATTTCACTGAGTAACAAGTTTTCTGTTTTTTCTTGTGGGTTGGTATCTGTGGTTTGATGAGCCAGCAAAACTCTTAAATGGAGAATAAGATAAAAAACAGATATGAGAGTAGAACTTTCTGCTTTCAATTGGCATCTCTGTATCCAAGGCCAGAGCCTTTCTGTGGTGGAAAAGCGACAAACACCTTAGCGAATGGCAGAGAAAAGTCACCCTTGTCATAACACGTTGGACTCCAGGCCTTCGCACAGTGTCAGAAAAATCAAAAAGAAAAGAAAAAAAGGTAATTGAAGATTCTTCCCTCTACTTCCTGGGTTTCCTTTTGCTTATTTAACTTAATCTACCCAAGTAAAGCTGATCCAGAGAGAGCTCTGTTCGCCCGCTCTCCCCCATTCTCACTCTCCAGCACAGTATTGCTCGTGTGGTTGGCTGCACCTTGTCCGCGAAGCACCTGCGGAGAACGTCTGGATTTGGACGCGCGCCTGCCTCCTGGCTTCCGTCACCACAGCGGCGCGGGTCCCTCCGACGCCCCGTAGAGCTCGGCCAGCTTCCGGAAGCGGGGCCCCCAGTCCGTCAGGAAGTCGAAGTTCTGTTCTGAGTCCGACGTGGCCGACTGCAGGGAGCTCAGCGACCCCGCCACAGAGCCGTCGCCCTCGAACATGTACGTCTGAAGGGAGTCGAAGGGCGGCGCCCACAGGTCCATGTCGGCCTCGTAGAGCTTGGCCAGCACGTAGCTGTGGACGGTGCTGTTCACTGCGCACGTCTGAGGCACGTAGCGGGAGAGGCTCTCGATCTCGGGCAGCATGTCCTGCCGCGTCTTGGGGGCGGTCCCCGCCTGCGCCTCCCGGGGGTTCCACATGGCCGCGATGTCGAAGGCCTCGGTGTCCTCCTCGCCGCCGCCCTCGTCGTCATAGCGGACGATGTTCTCGTGGATGTTTTCCTCGTCGTCGATGATGTATGGTTGTTTCCGGTGCCGCCTCATGGACAAAATGAGCAACACCAGCACTGCCAGGAAGAAAAAGGAGAGTCCATTTACCGAGGAGATGTGGCTGTGTGTGCGGTGAGTAGAAATAGTCTTGATTGACCACGGTTGGGGGAAGAGCTACCGAGTGGAGAGAGCTCAGATAGCTTTTGGATATCTGAAACTTCGGGGAATTCTAACTTAAGTCCACCTTGTTCTCTTTTTGTAAGTCAGGTTGTGGACAGTGAAGCCCTGTATTTCTTTAAATGGTTTAATTAGAAAAAATTGCATATAGTCTCTTAACGTCGGCGTGCTGTTTTGAAATTGTGTGTGTCTCTACGCCTAACACCCAATTTAAAATCCAATTAACAAAGCACAAAGGCCTGTTATGGACCAACATACTCTAAGGACTAGATCATGTGCTCTGTTTATATGATGGTAAATATACTTTTCTCTTCTTATAATGTGGAATGTGGAAGTCTTATGTAGGGGGAATGCTGCTTCCTTATATTAACATCTTAATAGGATTCTACTCTGTATATAATCGTATCTTAACATGCGTAGAGATACAAATACTAAGTATGCGCCAAAGTTGTAGTCTTTTTATACCTCTAAAAAACAACAGAACGTAAGTGATCCCTGGGGTCCAGTAAACTCAGGTTCCTCAGAGAAGCCTTTCATTAGGCGGTTGTGGCTTTCTGGACCCAAGGGTGTTTATGGAGGGGAGAGAATGAGCAGTGGCATTTTATATAATTCATCATGTTGTTAAAGAAACACCACACTGTTAGATGTGCCCTTGCAGGTTTGGATAAAATTTTATCCCAGCAAATGCATTTCCCCCCCCTAGAATGTGTCCGCCGGGGTTTAAAGGAGAGATAGAGATAATCCCATTGAGCTATTTATCTCTCTGACTGAAAACGTTTTCCAGGAAGAGTGTTGAGGTTTTAGCTGTAGAACTGCTATTGATTTTTTTTTTTTTTTCTGGTGTACTTTGTTACAGCTAGTGAACAGTGACAGTTTGACAGCACTGCAGAATAAGACCCCAGTTCATCCAAGGGGAAAAAGTGGAGTACATTCGTACATGCAGTAAAGGATTACAGACTAATAAAACTCACAACAGTGATTTAAAAATGTTTTTGAATGTAGATGTGCTTTTTTATAAATTGCGATTAATGACATTAATACGTAATATTTTCCCGGATAGGTTTGGTGACAAAACATACACAGGAAACGATGATATGCTTGTGTATATTTTCTCTGTGTGCAAAAATACGAGGCGTAGACTAAAAGGATGGTGGGATTCCTAGAGAAAAAGAGACTAATAGAACTTTAAGGAAGTGAGGGCTTGAATCGAGCATGAAAGGTTGGAGTGTGATTTGGATTGATGCAAGTTGGAGACCTGAGGTTCGAAGTGAGCATGCTGTGTTTCAGTAAAGTTATTAAACCCACATATTTTTAAGGCTCTATGCTAAGCAATGGGGAAACAATATTGAGTGTGACATGGATTCTGCTCTTGCGAGCTTGTAATCTAAGGAGATTATGGATGCTGATAATTAATGCAAGTCAGACAGTGATAAGGGCTATTAGAGCCACAAGTGTCACCAGGAGAGTACAGAGGCAGGGCCAGTGAATTTTACTTGGGAGACTGAGAAGGGCTTCACAGAGGTGACCTTGAAGTGGTAGGGGTGGTATTTTGGAAAATGCTAGGAAGCAAAATTGGAAGTCTTTTGAGTACCTTGCTGGAGAGAATTCTGATGGTCATGGAGAAGTGGGCCGTTTGTATAGAACTAGTCCGTTTCTTGAAAAATAAAGATTGCTACATGTCTTTTCTTTTTCTTTTTTTTTTAGGTAATCTAATTTAAATAACAAATATTATATAATGCCCTGAAAATCAGATTTTGAGGAAAATGGTCTTATTTAGCTGAAAGGCTTCTCTGACCGAAGAGAATTAGTTCTAGGGATGGTTTATTCTTTGGGTACTGTAGGCATGGTGCATAGAGCTTATGAGATTTTCTAGGAACTACATAAATATGTGAGACATGAAATAAAAACCCCACGAAGTCAGAATTAATTTAGTTGTCCATAAAATGTAGTATTTTGTTGACAAATGCAACTCAAATCTTAAAGTTTCATGAATTATTCTTAATGTGGGATGCGTACTCTTACAAATAAGAGTACTTAAAACTGTGAGGATTTTATGACAGCTCTGCTCAATTTAGCTCCTGAAAACAGTTTACTTTTTCTGTACAGTTCAAAAGACAAGACATCATCATGGGTGGGGAGGGAAAAAATAAATTGTCCCTTGCACACCATTTTTAACTTGAGAGCCTCTCCAAGCCAGTCTCTTTAAATCAGTATTTCTGTAATGATGGCTTTTTGTGGGCCAGAGTGAACTTTTAACTTCGACATTTTCCAAAGATAGAAGTAAGGACAGCCAGTCTGGAAATTTCTCCCAAGAACAAGTTTCTTCAAAGGCCTCTTACAGGTTGTCCAGTTCTGCACTCAAGGACCCCCAATGCCACCTTATGGAAACTCAAGGAATTGCAGGGAGGTTTTACTTGTCAATGCAGTCAGGGTCCAGAAACCGTAACAATTTTGTCTGACGCAGGGATCCAAGAACTTAGAAAGGTTACTTATTTATACTCTTTCTCTCTTTGCATAGGGCTGAACCAAAAAACCAAAATTAAACCACATGTTGTATTTTCCTATGTATTTTAAGAAGCACATTCCACAGACCTACCTAGAAAATCAAGTGCCGACATTTTTCACAGGAACTTCTTTCTTTGATCTGTCTCTTGGTATAGAGGTGAACTTGGGATCAAGGGTGTATGTGAATATCTGTACCTCTATTCTAATTTCAATCCTCAGGGCTTTTTCTCTCAGAAAACTCAGATTTCTTTTATATTGAATAATACTAGTATCTACTAAATCTGTTTTTCTCTAAGCAAGATATATTTGCTATAGATTGGTTCAATAAGAAGAGCAACGATATACGTACAGATATTTTCTTTTTTGCAAGAGTTGGTTTAAGTGTTTTTGTTTCTCTGTTTTTGAGTGTGGAATTAGAAAACAATTGCAAGGATGGCCTTACATACCAGGGAGTTGGGAAGCCGCCTTGCAGTATGACTTGAGAGGAGGAAGGAAGGGTTCCTTAACCCCAGTAGTGCTCTCCCACTACTGGCCTGTAATGCCCTTATTTCGTCAGCAGAGGAAAACTGACCCTGTTTAGTTGCCGTTCCTGGTTAGATGGCCATGGTGCCTGGGAGGGGTACTAATCACCCCAAACAGCTTATTCTCCAGAAATATGTGTGGTTCACACCATCACTTCCTTCAGCTTTCTGCTCAAAGGTCTTATCAGTGAGGGATTCCCTGACTACCCTGTTTGAAATGGCATCTATCCCTGTCACTTGTCCAACCAGGATACCTTATCCCTCTTCCCTTCCCTGTAATACCACCTCCAGAATCGGGATGAGTGTTTAGGAGAAAGGCAGTGCTGTTGAGCCACAGGGGTGCCCAGTGTGTATGACCTGCCTGCATTTCAGCCCTGGCTCTGCCTCTGACTTTGGTTTTGAGCCTGTCACTTACCCCTTTGTGACTTAGCTATTACTTAAATGAAGGGGTTAGAAGAGGTGATCGTCAAATCCTGTCTAAATTGTAATTTTGATTCTATGATGTCAAAACGAGCCTGTTTTGTTCTGAAGTAAACTCAGGAAGGCCAGGATGTGTCTGTTTTATTAATCCTAGCACCTTGTATAGTACCCCAGCTCATAGTAGATACTTCGTAAGTATATGTGCTTTGATCTTACCACAGACACCTTGAAGAAGGGACTGTCCTCAGTTTCTTTACTGTATTTTTGCAGCCTCACTCTACCACCTTTTGAGTAAGCAAGGTGTGGAGGATCAGTTCTAAATAGCTGTGTCAGGAAGGTAATGAATGGATGTCTGAGTGAGCACTGGCAGGACTCCACAGAAGGGAAAGCAGCCCCTTACTCACCTAAGAGGACGAAGATGCAGGCCAGGATGGCAATGAGGGCACCCCGGCTCAAACTGACTGGGAGCATGTAGGCCTCTGGGCTACAGGACATGACGTGGCCATCGTCATCACAGCTGCACACTTGGATGGTCAGTGTGCCTGTGCTGCTCAGCACGGGCTGCCCGCTGTCTGCTATCAGGATAGGCAGGTAAAAGACACTCTGCTCCTGCTGCCGGAAACCAGACCTCCTGGTTAGAATCCGTGCTGTGTTATCTGAAAGAAGGAGGGGTTCCAGGATTGGAAAAGGGAAGATGAATTAATTTCTTGGATTGAGGAAAGCAAGGGGGCAGGGGCAGGGAGTAAGAAGGAAAGAGGGTAGTCAGATATTCCCTGGTAGTGGTCAGCCATGGACGGGTTTGCCTGGATCAGCATTTGGATTCAGAAACCAGGCTTTTTGCTTGCTTTTAGGTAAAACCCTGAGGCTTGGAAGAGAAAGCCTTTTTTTGAGTCTGTCTTATCCTTTGTGACATAAAGTGCCCAAGGCAAACTGTCAGACTTCAGATCTAACAAAAATGTCCCTGGGAAAGCTTGACAGAAAAGAACAATCACTGGTGACTTGTGGTCCCTGTTTGTTCCTGCTCAGCAGCTTGCCAAGGCCCCAGTGCTGCTTTGTGCCTCCAGCAAAAGAATGCTGAGGAGCCCATGTGGCTGTGGCAGATTGCTTATTTTTGCCACTTTGACTGGAATTCATGTCTTTTACTATTTTCTTTTATGCCTCTGAAATGCAGTCACCAACTCCTGTGCTTCCTAAAGAACCTGCTTATTTAGTAGAAGCTTATTTGAAATCTCCTAATCATATGACACACCTTGTTATTTCTCCTGAGTTGGTGGTCTAACTTCAAGCAGTTAATATGAACTTGTTGAAAATTTGTTCCTGATCAATACTAGAAATCTTTCCTCCAGTTTTAAAGGGGATTAGTCAAATTATTAGATATTTTCTACAAAGTTGGGATGTGTACATGTGTGTGTTTACATTTATATTCGCATACTGTGTTGTAGGAGTGTTCATTTTTAAAATCTGCATTCTCAGGTTTCCTGGAGTAGGTTTGAATTCTGAAGTAGATATACTTTTGCAAAGCTTGGTTTATTTTCAGCAGAGGAAAAATTTGAGAGATGTGGTAGGACATACAAGAAGTGATTCTTTGTTTTTTTTTTTTTTTTTTTGAGATGGAGTCTCCCTCTGTCCCCAGGCTGGAGGCAGTGGCTGCGATCTCGGCTCACTGCAAGCTCCCGCCTCCCGGATTTCCGCCATTCTCCCTGCTCAGCACCTCCTGAGTAGCTGGAACTACAGGCGCCCACCACCTACCGGCTAGTTTTTTTGTATTTTTTAGTAAGACGGGTTTCACCGGTTAAGCCCAGGATGGTCCTCAATCCCTGACCTCCATGATCGCCGTCTCGGCCTCCCAAAGTGCTGGGATTACAGAAGAAGTGATTCTTAAAGCTAATACCACCAACACAGAGGTCCCATGGATGTGTTTCATATTTCATAGGAAAGAGTCGAGAACATCACAAAAAATTCTGAGAGCCTGACCTAAGAAAACATTATTAGTTATCATCAATATTTCTGGTTCTTCTTCTCTTTTTGGACATAATAAAGGATTATACTTTTCTGTCCTCTTAAATGTGGATATGTCTGTGTGATTTGTTTTAGTTGATGAGCAATAGTGATTTGTGTTACTTCTAGGCAGAAGTCTGTATGAGCTGATGTATGAGTCTCCATGCTTTTTCCTTGCTGTAGTTACTGAGAAAGAACCACAAGGTGTGAGATGCAGAGTGGGGCAGCCTGGGACACTGAGCTCAGACCCACAGTAGGCTGAATGTGAGCAAGAAATTAACTGTAGTTGTGCTAAGCCACTGAGATTTTCGTGGTAGTTGTTCCTGTAGCATAACTTGGGCTATTCTGAGTGACACATTACCCCTTAATTAACTTTCCCTTTTCCACCTGCTTTTGATGCTAACGGCTATTGTTACTAAAGGCTCATGTGCCACGTACCTGCACTTTGTGTGCAGTATCTCACTCAATCTTCACAATTTGGAGATAGTAATAATCTCACTCCTTTTCAGAAATAGAAGTAAGGCCTAGAGTGATTTTAAAATTTGTTTGAAGCCACTAACCTAGTTAGTAGCAGAGCTGGGATTTGAACTCTCGTCTCTCTGTCTCCAAAACATGCACACCTTCGATTATGCTATATAACTGCTTATTTAGTAATGTTAACTGTCAAAAAAAATTCAGATAAGCATAATCTCTTCCTGCTTTGATACAGGCTACTTCTTATTTTCTTCTCAATGGAGAAGTGATGCCAACCTGAGGATTATATTCATATTTCCACCTACCACACAACCCATGAACCTTTCTATTTTCCAGACGTAATAGCTAAGTAGTGTCAATTCCACTTTGTAGTTTTAATTGTTTGTTTTTTCAGAAAGCAGGTTTTTCTCTAATCAGAACTTTTATTTTTTTGGTTTAGTCCTGGTGAGGTCGTAAGACTTTTAGAAAGTCTGACTAGAGCTGAAATTCATATAAGTATTATATCTATGACATATATGTTTCTTGATCTAAGAGTTATTTAAGATTAAAGAAAAATATCAGAGCATCACATTGCTGAATCCAGTGCTAGAAGGGGCCTGGCATATAATAGCCACTTGGAAAATTTTTGTTGAATGTGATAATTAGGCCTTTAGTAACTTATTTGGAAACAGCATTCTTTCCTAAGGTGACAGAGAACACTGTGTGTGGGGGTGGGGTGTGGGGGTGGGGCGTGGGGGTGGGGTGTGGTGGGTGGGCATGGTAAAACAGGACCCGATTTCTGGCCCCAATTTTAATGCTTATTGATTCTCTGGTCTTGGGCCATTTGCTTACTTTCCTCATCTATCAGATGGGATAATAAGAATCAGAAGGATTAATAACTTCCTTAAAGTTTCACAGAATTATTGTAAATATCAAATAAGTTATGGGAAAATACTTTTGAAACTGTAAAGTACTATATATACATAATTCTTTTCACAATGTTTTGGAGCTGAAAAGTGAAAAACGGCTTTACTGGAGATAGTGCCCTGTTGTGTTCATAAAAGGACTTTATGTTTCAGGCACGGGAACAGAGGTAGTTGACAGTAGATCTGCCCTATATTAGTCAGTTTTTGCTGTGTTGGGTTTTTTTAGAGACAGTATCTTACTCTGTCACCCAAGCTGGTGTACAGTGGTCTGATCATAGCTCACTGCAGCCTTGAACTCCTGGGCTCAAGTGATCCTCCCACCTTAGCCTCCCAAGTAGCTGGGAATGCAGGTGCATGCCACCATGTCTGGCTAATTAAAAAAAATTCGTAGAGGTGAGGTCTTAATGTATTGCCCAGGCTGGTCTCAAACTCCTGGCCTCAAGTGATCCTCCTGCCTCAGGCTCCCAACTAGCTGGGACTACAGGTGTGTGCCACCATCCCTGGCTAATTTTTAAAAAATGTTTTGCAGAGATAGGGTGTTGCTGTGTTGCCCAGGCTGGTGTTGAACTCTTGGTATCAAGCAGTTCTCCTGCCTTAGCCTCCCAAAGTGTTGGAGTAACAGGCATGAGCCACCGTGCCTAGACTTGGTCAGTTTTAAAATGAGCCTCAGTAAAGGATACTTGTGGTATAAATTGTCATTTGGAGATTAAGAGTTCATGGTTTCTGTTGAAGATGTGCTGACTTCTGTTTTGGGAAACCTTCCAAGAGATGAGTCACATCTTATTATAGTCATCCAGTGCCGATGGCCCATCTTTTTAAGGAATTGGTTCCATAAATTGGTGCCCAAAGTCATCTTTAAGAAATTTGCAGCATTTTGCTGCATTTTGTTTCACTCATTAGAATGATAGCTTAGCTGAACAGTTGAAGAAAAAATATAATGTGTTACAATGTGTTATTCTTTCCCCCCAGGGTTGCCTTTTTAAAGCCAGTCCTAGGCTGAAACCACTTTTTTCTGGAATACTTTCCCTATGAAGCAGATAAATGAATAGTTCAAAATTTTGACCCAATAAAAACTTAAGGATATTTAATCGAAGTATTTCTGTCTTTATAATTCATATTGCCATTCCTTCCAGAATTATTATAGTAGTTTTATGATGACATGTAGGAGGTTGAAGGGATGACTTAGAAGAATGCTTTCCCATTTAGAAGAAATTAGGTTTGAGATTCTCAAGTTTTACAGCAGAAAACTGTCATATGGGGTTGAAGTAATGCTTTTAATCTCAAATAATTGATATTTGAAACTAAAACCAGGTGTGCCTAACCTGATCATGAGTTTTTGTTACTCTTTGCTTAGATTTTTACAAAGTGGCAATAAATAGTTTAGAATTGGAATGAAAATGAGGCTATTGCAGTCTGGAGAAGTGATAACCTTCCCAGGGTCAGATGGCTAGCTGGCAGTAGAGTTAGCAACAGATGAGGTTCATTTGACAGTTTAACTTATTTTTTCCATTGCCCTGACCTTTTCTTTTCTTTTGAAGCAAATCATCTGGCTAGAGAACAGAAATCCTTCCTTTTCCCATCTGTGCCCAAAGAAGAGTGTGCTGGGTGTGTGAGCGCCTTAGCTGTTCTGAATGCTCATTGGAAAAGAGGGGCCTAGAATTCTGTTCCATCAAAGCTATAGCGGGGAGCAGTTTCTGGATAGGGAACCCTACCTGAAAGTGTGTCTCTAAATCATCCTAAAATGATAAAGCTGTTTCAGTGCCAAAACTGTGTTTATGGTCCTGTATTTGCCCTTTCTTATCTCTATTACTTATCCTTTGTCTCCTTTTTGTTTGGAGAGCTTTTTACTGTTTCCTGCTTTGATCTCTGCCTAGAAATGTTCCCCCAGGGTTTTTTTTTTTTTTTTTCTTTTCTTTCTTTTTTTTAAATCTAGGTCACTTTCTGTCTTTCTCAGATTTTTCCCATTGTTACAGAACATATGAACAAGGCTGCTACCAGTGGAAATGAAGAATTTCGCCTCTGTGCTTTGCAGTGTTTCTAGCACAGGACAGATACTCAGTAAACATCTGTCGACTTACTGACTGAAGGAGTTTTAGAGTTGGCAAAGGGTTCTCCGAGTTTGTTGTTCTGAAACAAAACTTTAAAAGACTCTGTGAAGCTGGGTGTAGTGGCTCATGCCTGTAATCCTAGCACTTTGGGAGGCTGAGATGGGAGAATTGCTTGAGGATTGCTGGTAAAGAGCAGGTAGGCTTTGACACTATTTGCATAAGACCATAACCCAAAGTAGCTGGTCTATGCTGTAGAAAAGCATAGATAGCCAGCCATCCACCTGATTACCTTGGTTGTCCCTTATGGTAAAGTTGGGGTTGTTAGCAGCCTCAGGAGCCAAGCTGTAGTAGAAATGCTGACCATTGCGTGGGTCATCTTGGTCCACTGCACTCACTGTCTGGATCAGCTGAGGGAGGGACATGAAATCAGGTGAGCTGGAGCCAAAGGAAAAAGCACCAGGGCCCAGTTAAATCCCAAACCCGGAAATGCGATGGTGGGTTGTTTTACCTAATGGAAGGGTATCATTGATATGGGAGGGGGCGGGGCAGTGCTGGGTAGAGAAGGGCAGGGTCCCTGGCAAGGGCTCCATGGACCTAAGTGAGAATAGAAACTCCTGTTTTTGGGCCCAAATGTTGCATTTTCCAAGACCGCTCTGGCCTGCCACTCCCCCCATTCTGTACCCTTAAAAACCCAAGACCTTAGCAGCCACAGATACAAGCAGCTGGGTGTTGAGAGGAGAAGAGGAGCACACCAGCAGACGCTGGCAGACTAGCGATGGTGGAATGATGTGGATGACAAGGGGAGTTCAGCCCAGGACAGTCGGAGAAGAGTCTGGCCACTGGGCAGCCTGAGTCCAGGAGAAGAACACCTTCCCACTCCATCCCCCGCTTCCGGCTTCCCATCCATCTCACTAAGAGTCACCTTCACCACTCAATAAATGTTGCACTCAACCTTCCAGCCCATGTGTGATCTGATTCTTCCAGTTCACTGGGCAAGAACTCAGGCTGTCACACTGGCCCTCTGTCCTTGTGATAAGGCACAGGGTCTGCTGAGCTAATACAGGCCATCTGCAGAAGGCATAGTTGAGAGACAGCACACTGTAACACACGCCCACTTGGGCTTCAGGAGTCCTAGACGCTGCTGTGGGGCTAGAGCCCAAAGCGCTCCCCATGGTTTCTGCACCTGCCCGTCTACATGCTCCCCCTAGGGGTTTGAGCAGCCGGGGCACACTCCTGTCCTGCAAGGGGGGTAAGGGAACTCTCCCGTTCCATGTGAAACTTCCCTGCACAGTCTCTATGCCATCACACACCTCGGGATTTGATTTTGCTTTAGGGTTGGGCTTGAGTATGTTAGTAGGCATAGGATAAGTGTTACCTAAATACTTCAGATGTTAGACATCAATATAACATATATTCTTCCACCATGGGCAGCCGTTTCTAGGCAGTCTAAAAAGTAAGAGACTTTGAGTCAAAGGGCTCGGGTGCCGCAAAGTCCTGCTTGACCCCATATTTTCTTCTCACCTCGTCTACTTAACCTCATCACTGACCCAATATTTCAGGGCTAAATTGCTGTCTTTGAGAAGCCCCTGTTTAAGAATGACCATGACCTGAAGAGAAGTGAGTGACACGTTGGCATTGGCCATGTTGGGTTAACAGAAAACAGACCTGAGGGAATGGGTCACAGGGAGTCACATTTTGTTGGCAGGAGAGAGAGCTAGCAAAGATAGCACAGGATCCCCAGAGTGGAAATGCAGAATAGACAGGAGTCAGAAGCAGAACTTGGGGGTGGGGAGAGCAGGAGGTCAGGTGGTTTCCTGTTGGATTCACTGGCCAAGTTTTGCCTTTTCCATAATGTTTTTCAAAAGAGTAAGTTGCGTGAAGTCTATGGAGACCATGATCTAAAAGCTGTTAAAGAAATCTGTGTGAAACAGACTACTGAAATGGGAGCTGGCAGGCTGAGGGGGATACAGGAGAGGCATTGAACGGCAGCCTCCTTCATATGTGTTTCCTCTCCTACCAAGCAACAGCACAGACTACTCCTACCTATCTTGGGCCCAGCCCTGTAGACTTGCCACTCCTGCTGTTTAAAAGCCAGCAATGCTTCTACCACCATAGGAACCAGGACGTCAAAGGTCGGTTTGAGGGCCCAGGTGGGCTTGCTTAGTTTGTGTTTCTTCATCTGTAAATTAGAGGAGGTAAAGCTACCCTCACAATATGCTGAAGATTAAATGACTGGGGGTGGTGGTTGGGGGAACTCCCATCAGGGGGCCTTTTGGACAGTGTTGCTCAGATCCCCCTTCAATGAAGGACTTTTCCCCTAGTTATCACCTACCAGTCCCTTTGGGGATTACCGATTGCAGACAGCCACCTACCCACTCCTATGGTTTGGATATTTGACCCCACTGAATCTCATGTTGAAATCTGATCCCCATTGTTGGAGGTGGGGCCTGGTGGGAGGTGCTGGAGTCACCGTCTTGGTGCCGTCTTCCTCGTAATGAGTTGAGTTCTTACTCTATTTGTTCCTGTGATAGCTGGTTGTTAAAAAGAGCCTGGCACCTTCCCCTCCTGCCTTGCTTCCTCTCACCATGTGATATGCACATGTCAGCTTCCTTCCCCCTTCCTCCAAGTGTGGAAGCAGCTTGAGGCCCTCCCTAGATGCACATGCTGGCACCATGCTTCTTACACAGCCTGCAGAACCATGAGCCAAATGAACCTTTTTTCCTTATAAATTACCCAGCCTCAGGTAATCCTTTATAGCAGTACAAACTGACTAAGATGCCCACGGTCAGCACATCCTTCCAGGGCAACAGACATCCAGTGACTAATTAATGTGGTAGTATACAGGTCTGGCTATCCCATCTCAACTTGGGGAAACTCTAGTTCTGGAACTCTCTGAGAAGTCAGCTGAGGCAGTTAGTGAGTCTGCATGGCAGCTGGACTTCTTTTGCCTAGTCTTGCTTCCTTTGCTTCCCTCACACAGGTGCTGGCCCTAAGGGCCCTCCTTAATAAACACCTTATGCTGGAACTCCATCTCAGGGTATGCCTCCTGGAGACCCCAACTGTTGAACCTGAAAGTAGGGGGAATGGAGTTGCCAGGAAGGTAAGGGTCAGGAGAGTAATGGAGATCAGCTTGCCCACAGCCAATCCTCGTATCAGTGCTGCTCATACTCTAGGATTACCCTCCTGTCCTGTCCCTGCCTGGAGACAGAGCCGGCACTTTTCAGCTTGCTTGTAGCGCCAAACACATATAGAGGTAACATATTTCTTGAGGCATGTTACACATAGGTGATTCTACATAACTTGATAAACATCGTTGGGAAAGTCATTTCAGAATATCTGGCCTGCGTATTGTGAATATATTGTTGAGATTGGGGCCCGAGGCACAGAGCTGGTTGCTTAAAGGGCTTCAAAGCACGAGTGAGTGAAGACACAAATCGCTAAGTCTGGATTGGGAGTGCATGTCCTGCTCTCCTGCTCTCTGTTCTCCCGGCAGGTCAGATTTCTTCCTCAGCCCCGCTTGTCATGCAGTATTCTGCCCAGCTGGTTTCATTCCGCCCTTGGCCATCACCAAGTATGTTATCTGATTTCTTTATGGGCTTCCTTCAAGGCTGCTTACCAAGAGGAAAGCATGTGTGTGGACTTGTCAGACATGAAGCCGACGACAGTGTCCAACAAGTAAACACAAGGAGGACTGATTCTTTATAAACCAGATATATCTCTGAGCCGCATGCTTTTGAACAATCTTCAAAACATTTCCCACAGCCCAAATCAAAGGGTAAGATTTTCAGTATCTTGGCCTAAAGGTGACAGTGGGATAGACTGAATTTGAAGTGGCAGATCTGTACTTCAGATCACTATATAACAGACTATTAAAAGATGCATTTAGAAATGGGGACTATGTTTGTTTAACTACAGAAACAGGAGAGGTAGTTAAAATGTTCTTCACTTGTCAGAATGCAACCTCACCTACTCTGAAGCCCTTTAAAAGAGGGTGCTTTATTTTGGGGGGAAGGAGGTTTAATTTACTCTGCTGCTTATCACCCTCTTTGTATTATAGATTAAAATTAGCTTATTTTGTCATAACAAAATATTCATATAATTTTATAACATAAAAGTTTATATTACATATATAAATTTTATGACATAAAACAAAAATTATTAAAATAAAGACCCAAACCTCCTCACTTAAACTCAACTACCTTGGCACAGTAACTATACTATTTTTGCATCTTCCCTCTCATTGTTTACTTGCAGTCATAATTTTACATGACTGCAAGCATGTATGTGTAGTTTGTATACCTCCCTTCTTATAATAACACGGATCATTTTTTGTGCTGTAAATTCTGCATTGTAACTTTTATTAGCTATATAATATTTCAGGTCTTACTAGACTAGAAATTCACTAGATATGAAAAGAGAATTATCCTAGACTTGTTGAGAAGAATTTTTTTTAGGAGAGCTATCGACCATTACACCAAATTTCAAGGATTGATAGATAAATCTAGATCAGAATCATGATGGAACGTCTTTCTTCCCCTGAGGGATGTAAATCACTTTTTGCTTTGGCTGAGTAAATGGTAAAGATGTGTTGAGTCCCTCTTTGGTGAGCTCAGAGAGCTAACATAAGTTTTGGTTATGCAGACCTAGTCTCTCTGTGCGAAAAGATGCTGGAGGTACTACTACGAGGGAGTGTGAGAAGTGAAGTGATATGGTTTGTCTGTGTCCCCACCCAAATCTCATCTTGAATTGTAGCTCCCATAATTCCCACATGTTGTGGGAGGGACCTGATGGGAGATAATTGAATCATGGAGGCAGTTTCCCCCATACTGTGTTTGTGGTAGTGAGTAAGTCTCACAAGGTCTGATAGTTCTATAAGGGGTTTGCCTTTTCACGTGGCTCTTTGTCTTGCCTGCTGCCATGTAAGACATGCCTTTTGCCTTCCACTGTGATTGTGAGGCTTCCCCAGCCACATGGAACATAAATTACCCAGGCTTGGGTATGTCTTTATCAGCAGCATGAAAATGGACTAATACATGAAGGCAAAGTTAGATTACAGTCAGAAGCCTGAATTACCAATGCATGAGCCCCTGCCTTACCAATATGCACTTCCCCGGCTTTCATGTTAAAACCATTTCAGCCCATTTGATCTAGCACCAGCATCCACAGGACCACAGGATATTCTGAGGTGGAGAAGGGGAGCAAATGAGGGCTGTTAGGGGATCTGTTGGGTTGCTGGGTCATAGGCAGGGGAGGAAAGCATTTTACAGAAGCAGGAACAGAATAGAGGAGATGGACAAATTATAGGACGGGCAACAGCCTGACACATGCATTGCTACATGGGCACTCCAAACGGAGTTCCAGATGTTTCTCAGTTATACCACTTAGAATGTGATCAACTAAATATTCAGTTAGGTTTAAGGGCATACTTTAAAAAATATATGAATATATCTGAAGATTATGGAGCTAGATTTCAAATAAGTAGATCTTTGTCTTTTTGGATTACTTTCCTCTCAAAACTTACCTGACATGAGCAGCACTAAGAAAATGGATGTTTTAATTGAGGGAGGAGAGAGGGTAGGTCATTCTAGGTGGCAGCATTCTGAGATAGGCCAGGCAGTCCCTAAATAAGGTACTTCTTGCCAGAAGTTAAGAAAGGGAGGTGGAAAGATATAGAAAATAAACTTGTCCTACTGCAGAATATTTGAAGAATTGGTACCACACTCGGGAAAAGAGCAGCTTCTTCTTCCTTTTCCTGGTCTTCTTGGTCCCTCACTTCCAGGCCCCAGAGCAGGTGTTACTGCCATTGGTGCTACACAATTCCGTTTCCAGGTGGACACATACCTTATACAGCTGTCCTGTATGTCAAGCCACCCTCAAAGTGCTGTTTAGGCCATAAAAGGTAATGTAGGTTCCAAATCGTTGTCTTTTTGTTTTTTTAATTTTTTTAGAGACAGGGTCTCACGATGTTTCCCAGGCTGGTCTCAAACTCCTTGGCTCAAGCTGTCTTCCTGCACTGGCCTCCAGAAATGCTGGGATTACAGGCATGAGCCACCACACCTAGCCTCAAATAGTTGTCTTAACAAATAAATGGTTGAAAACTGATATACGGAAATTGGGAACTCTGTTTTGTGAACTGTTCGTTTCTGGAGTCAAAATCGCTTTGATGGTGAATTTGGTTATCTGTAACAATTGTTTCTATATGTTAGGGGTTAAGCAGAGTGCACCACCTACAGGCTGCCTTACCTGTCCTGCCTTGGCGTTCTCACAGACAAAAGCTTCATAGAATCTGGGGAACTCCGGAGCATTGTCATTCACATCTAAGACTTTGATTGTGACAGGAACACTTCCAACCTGGGAGGGATTGTCTAAAGGGAACACAAGGAATACCAAATCTGAGAGATTAGTAATGCCAAAAGAAAAAGAAAAAACAATAATTGTCTTTGCTAGAAGTAGGTATTTACCTGGTGAGTCTGGGTTTGAAAGAAGTGGATAAAGTACATGGAAATGGTAGCAAGAGCATAGGATCCGTGTGTCGCCTACTAAGAGTGTGGCCGGATATGAGAAGTTTGCGCAGAACAAGGTGTGTGTTGGTGACCGTTTGCTATCAGCAGTATGAAGGGAAGGGTGAGAAAAAGGGAGCAAGTGTCACAAAACGAATCTTAAAAAGAGGTTTTCAATCTCCCATTTGGCTCAGACTTCAAGTTCTGGAATTAAAGGCAGGTCAGTTCTATATTCTGGACTTTAAAAGAGTCCATTGCCAATCGGATGCATACTGTGTGGCACTGCTTGGCTTTATTCCTGTGGAATCATCAGTTCTTTGAATTACATTTCCAAAGGTTTATTTCCAGTTATTCGCTGGAATAAAGATAACACTGCACATTTATTTCTGCTTAGGGACTAACAGGATATTATAGGATCAAACACACACCAAATCCATATCTTTGGCTGGGGTCATAGTCTCTCATGGGAAACTGTGTCTTTGTGATCTGTGTCTTTTGCTTGGCACTGCCATGCAGAGACAATTTCATAGATCTGGTAGTGCTCCTCCTGTCTTTTTCTGTTTTGGTCACCACCCCAAAACAGAAATTGCAAGACACAGAAATTATTCTTGGTTAATAACTTTACTAAATCCCAAAATGCATTGTTCTTCTGAATCATATTTTTCTTCCTTTCTTTCCCAAACATGTCTATGCTCTACTGTTTCCCCCCTAAATACTTCTATTGCTTGGTTACCAGAATGTGCTAGCAAAATTAAGATTTATTTCTTCATTATAACAGTGGTGTTTGTCTAAGGAATAATGAAAATTCCAGAAAAGCATAGATGAATCCATGAATATGATCCACAATCCTACCACCAGAGATATCTATTAGATATATGACATTATACAGCGTGGGTGTCCAAAATTGGAGTTATACACCTTCCCCTGATACACAAGTTATAGTTAAGCAAGATAGAAAAATTGAATTCAGAACATTAATATTTTAGGGTAAGGTTATCCTTTGTCATTGAATATGTTTTGAAAGCGTGGCTCTTGATGTCTGTATTATATTGTCATTTTACTATAGGTTGTACCAAAATTTATTGACTCTCCTATTATTAGACATGTAAGTAATTTCCATTTTCTCCCTATTTTAAAATAACATGGCAGTGGAAATTTTCACATATAAATCTTTGTTGATATCTGTCATTATTTCCTTAATATGATGACCAGCAGTAGAATTCCTGAAAGAGTGTGAATATTTTGGAGAATCTCAATACATATTGCCAAACTGCCCTCCTGAATGGCTGTTTATTATATAGCCAATAGGTTAGGGACTGTCATTTCTCTAAGCCTTTACTATCACCAGTATGAAAAAAAAGGTATGTAGTGGTATATAATCTTAATTTTTATTATTTATGTAATATATATTAATCTAGTTGTTATTAATCTTCCATGCCATTTATAAGTTTATTATGTTAATCAGTTTGCTTTTCATTGTGAGATGTCTCAAATTCTTGTGGGCATGGATAGATATATGTTTGCATAATAAGAGTGATCTGTTATAAATGCTTCCTTTCATACAGTAATATTTTATACTCTTTGTACATTCACAATCATATTGAAGATTGAAAGCCTGTTAGATTTCTCAGGAGTCTTCCCTTTTCCTCATAGCTACTTGGGATAAGAATGCTGTCTTTCACTGCTTTTCCATGTTTTGTTTGCTTTTATCTGTAGCACAGGACTAAGTATACAAGAGAGCCTCAAAAAAGTATTTGAACTGAATGCATTTACTTACTTGCATAAAGCATGATTTACATTTCTTCCCTTAAAAGATATAATTTTGTTACAAGTTCTAGAAACTTCCACTTTCTATAACACCTACATTTTGTCACTGCATAGAGACCAATTTATTGTGCTACTTACTCATTTCCATAGCAAGGACAGTGATATTATGCCAAGAAAATTCTTCCCGGTCTAGGGGTCTTGCTGTCATTAGGGCACCTGTTGTAATGTCAACATAGAAAAATCTTCCAGAGTCACTGCTTCTATCAATGGAGTATCTGCAGAAACATGGATTATATACATCATTTGCATTTGGATAAGCATATGACAGCATTCCACATAAGACAACTGAGTGCCTACCATATGAAGCATGGTTCTACCACTTCTGAGTTAACGGCTACTGGAAGACTGCATTCGTGGTTTTATTTGTTCAAAAACAAGTCATCTCCTCCTCCAATAAACAAAACAAATATTGCTTCAATTTTCTCATTCAAAAAAATGAAATAAGCAGGGTGCCCACAGTCTTGGGGAAGTTTTAAGCTATTTAAATATGGTTTATGCTATGTAATGCTTGGAATTACCCCAATAATTTTGGGACATCCTGAGTATCAACTCCTGTATATATTTGTTTAAAAGGAATTGTATTCAAATGAGTTCTCAAATGCTAATCAGAAACTAGAAAAGGAGAAAGATTATAGTTTAGTGGTTCCAGTCCTTATAATTTGTATCAACTATTAAGAAGAAAAGCTTTGTACCACAACCTTTCTTAACGTGCTAATGACCAACCTTCTGGCAAACACAATAATGGTAGTGTATTTACTAGCTGGAGATCCCTAAACTATGGTATGCTTTTAGCAGGATGGACCGGATCTGGCTAGGTTGTTTCCTGTAAATAAACCTAGAGTTTATGAATTTGTGGGGTACAGCCTGCCGGAAAATGTCATATAAGCTATGTAATTGATGTTGTATAACAAGCAAATGTTCCATCACAAAAATGGATCTTTGTGTTCAAGCAAGGCACTTTGTCTATTGCTTCTACCTTTCATGTTCAGTCTGGACCAACATGCATCTTTATGCAAAAAAAGGACATTTATGGGCACCTGTGCCTGACAGTTTCAGAGCTCTCCAAGGGGAGAATGTCTCATATTTTGCTGTTGTCTGTATCATTTCAGCCATTAGTTAACTAGGTCCTGGGTAAGATCTATATTTCCTGTTGAACCTGATTTGGCAATCCAGTTCTGTTGTGTTATTTCACCTGTGTTATCTCGTCTGGTCTCCATCCTGGAAGATTCAACAAATACGGAGGGAGGCTTAGGCATGTGGATGTTAAAAACCCTCTATAAGGGATTTTGATATGTGGCCATGATTGAGAACCATCAATGAGAACCTTATGTAGTCCTTGGTAAAGGCTAAGTAATATTTATCATTTTTATTTTTTAATTCTTTTTTTCTTCTGAGGTGGAGTCTTGCTCTCTTGCCCAGGCTGGAGTGCAGTGGCATGATCTCAGCTCACTGTAGCCTCCACCTGCTGGGTTTGAGGGATTATCCTGCCTCAGCCTCCCGAGTAACTGGGATTACAGGTGCCTGCCACCATCCCCGGCTAATTTTTATATTTTTAGTAGAGACGGGGTTTTCCCACATTGGCCAGTCGGGTCTCAAACTCCTGACCTAAAGTGATCTGCCTGCCTCGGCCTCCCAAAGTGCTGGGATTACAGGTGTGAGCCACCATGTCAGGTCATTTTTATTTTTTTAATTGACAAGTAATAATTATATATATTTATGGGGTACAGTGTGGTATTTTGATACATGTATACATTGTAGAATGATCAAATCAGGCTAATTAACATGTCTATTACCTCACATATGTATTTATTTTTCACAGTGATACCATTTAAAATCTTTTAGCTATTTTGAAATATACAATACATTATTATGAACTATAGTTACCATGCTGTGCAGTAGATCACAGGAACTTACTACCCCTTACTGTAGCATTGAACCTTTTGACTCTTTTCCCTGTTTACCCACCAGCCTCTGGCAATCAGCACTGGGCTCTCTACTTCTATGAGTTTGACTTTCTTACATTCTACATATAACAGATCACGTGGTATTTGTCTTTCTGTGCTTGACTAATTTAGCATAATGTCATCTAGACTCATCCATGTTGCAAATGACAGAATTTCTTTCTTTTTTAAAGCTGAATTGAGTATTTAAGGCTGAAATGAATATTCTATTATGTATGTATACCACATTATTTTTACCCATTCATCTGTTGATGGGCACTGAGGTTGTTTCTGTATCTTGGCTATTGTGAATAATACTGCAGTGAATATGAAAGTGGAGACATTCTTTGACATACGAATTTCAGTTCCTTTGGATATATACCCAGAAATGGGATTGTTGGATCACATGGTAATTCTCTTTTTAGTTTTTTGAGGAACCTCCATACTGTTTTCTAAAATGGCCGTACTAACATTCTCACCAACAGTGTGCAAGGGTTCCATTTTTCTACACACCGCAGTCAACACTTATGTTTCGTGTTTTTGACAACAGACATTCTAACGTGTGAGGTGATATCTCATATTGTGGTTTTAATTAGCGTTTTCCTGATGATTAGTGATGTTGAGCATTTTTTCATGTATCTGTTGGTCATTTGTATGTCTTCTTTTGAGAAATGTCTGTTCAGGCATTTTGCACGTTTTTTAAACAGGGTCATTTGTCCTAATTTTGAAATAATATTACAAAGCTGTAGTAACTAAAACAGCTAGAATTAAAACAGACCCATCAACCAACTAAATAGAGAGCTCAGAAATAAACTCATAGGTCTGCAGTCAATTAACTGATTTTTGACAAAGGTTCCAAGAACACATAATGGGGAAAGGACAGTCTCTCCAATAAAGTGTTGAAAAAACTAGATATCCACATGCAGAAGAATGGAAATGGACCCTTATCTGACCCCTTATACAGGAATCAACTTAAAATGGATTAAAGACTTAAATGTTAAGACCTGGAACCATCAAACTACTAGAAGAAACCTTATGGGAAAAGCTCCACAATGTTGGTCTGGGCAATGGTTTCTTGGATATGACCCCACAGGCACATACAAAAGCAAAAATAGACAAATGGGATTGTATCAAACTAAAAACTTGTGCACAACAAAGGAAACAATCAACAGAGTGAAGAGACAACCCACAGATTGGGAGAAAATATTCTTTTCATAGAATAAAGGGTTAATATCCGAAATATATAAATAATAACAAGAAAACAACCCTATTTTTAAAAGACCAGTAATTACAATAGCTGCCACTTGCTGAATATCAGAAACTTTACTATGTACTTAATATACAGCTTCTTTTAAAATTTTTCCAACATCTCTGGGAGGTAGTTATTATCTCAATCAACAGATAAGGAAACTGAGGCTTAAAGAAGTCACTTTTTTCTTCCTTTCTTTAGAAATGGGTTCTCTCCTTGTCACCCAGGCTGGAGTGGTGCAGTGGCATGACCAAAAACTAACTGCAGCCTCAAACTCCTCGACTCCAGTAATCCTTCCATCTCAGCCTCCTGAGTAGTTGGGACTAGAGGCAGGTCCCACCCCACCTGGATAATTAAAATATGTATTTTTGGATTTTAAAAGACAGAGTCTTGCTGTATTTCCCAGGCTGGCCTCAAACTCCTCAAACTCCTACCCTCAAGTGATTTTCCTGCCTCAGTCTTCCAAGTAGCTGGGATTATAGGAATGAGCCACTGCAACCAGCTGAAGACACTTTTATGCAATTACACAAGGAATAATTTGCAGGGTTTAAGACTTATAGCCATCCTTATGGAGTTATAACTATTGTGTTTGATTTGAAGCCATATATTCAAAGTTATTACTACTGTGTTCTTACAAATTATTTAAATAGGGACTGGGGAATTTATTGGGTTCAAAATTTGTTTTAAAGTTGCCAGCTATTGCAATCCATATCTAAACATTGTGGAGATGGAGAAGCAGCAATTTTGGAGGGAATAAACAGTTTCTTTACTATAGTGCATTGTTTTTCAGATGCAGGTTAGTGGATTGTGAAATCAGTTTGGTGGGTTATGATTAGCATAGAAAGAAAATGAAATAGAATAGAACATATGCATGCCAGACTATCACATGCAATACGGGTAAGTATTGATGTAAAGCTTTTGTTTTATATATGTGTGTGTGTGTATATACACATATACATATATACAGTTGTGCATATATATCTATTGGTAAAATGTATCAAATATAATGTATTTTTTTCTGCAGAGATTCAGGATGGCTATTTAGGAATTAGGAATTAAATAGAAAGCTGATGAGTAAGGGCTAGAGAAATCAGAATCATTTATGCTATGACTCCCTAAGACTTAGGAAATTTAAGGAAGAAAATTAATGTTTCTCTCGGCCTGTGACCCTATTTAAGGAACATTCACTGTATGCCAGGCACTGCTCAGCACACACCACCTATATGGACTCATTTAATCTTTACAATAACACCACGAGGTAGGCACCATTATGGTCCTCATTTTACAGGTAAGAAGTGTGAGGAGTAGAGAGGTTAGGTCCGTTGACTGAGGTCACAGTGCTGGGAATCAAGCCCAGGCAGTCTGGCTGCAGGCTTCTGCTCCCAGCCACCAGGCTTACTTACTGATACATGGTCTGTAAGAGATTGTCTAAGGAAACAAGACTTTGTCTTTTAAAGGTAAGAGTGTGTATTAGTCAGTTCTCACACTGCTAATAAAGACATACCAAAGACAGGGTATTTATAGGGAAAGAGGTTAATTTGACTCACGGTTCAGCATGGCTGGGAAGGCCTCAGCAAACTTATAATTGTAGTGGAAAGGGACGCAAACATGTCTGTTACATGGTGGTAGGAGAGAGAATGAGTGCAAGGGAAGGGGGAAGCCCCTTATAAAACCATCAGATCTCGTGAGAACTCACTATCATGAGAACAGCATGGGGGAAACTGCCCCCATGATTCAGTTATCTCTACCTGGTCCTGCCCTTGACACATGGGGATTATTACAATTCAAGGTGAGGTTTGGGGGGGGACACAGAGCTAAACCATATCAGAGTGACAGCGAATCGTTGCCTTTTTAATAAAGAAAAACACATGCTTCAGAGTTCATTTAAAATTGACTTTTTAAGCTTAAATTGTTATTTAACTTTAAAGTTTACTATTTTAAGAATTGAATTTTCTCTAAAATTAAAAAAAAAAACCACTGAGTGGCTCATGACAGTCTTCTCTTTCAGCTCCTACACATGCAGAGAGCCAGCCATGTGGTCCTTGGAGCCATCTCCCTAATGGCAACTCTCCCGGTTACAGGCATGATGCCGAGGGGAGAGGCAGCCTATGAGAAAACAGCTTTCTATACTCAGACCTACGGCACCGTAGCAAATGTCACAGATGGCATGGGAGAGGGAGTGATAGAAATAACTAACCCACAGGACCCCTGACAGCACTGCCGGGCGACACACCAGGAGCTTTCCTCAGAGAAGCCTCCCTCATCGAGGGTAATCCCTCTCCGATTTCCCCAACGGGGCCTGAATTGAGGGAATGATAGCCTTTATTTCCCTGAATGGGATGCTGGGTCAATTTTCAGGAGGCAGGAGAAAAATTAAAGGTGTAGATACAGATGGAAAATGAGGAAATTGGGACACACTCGTGAATTATGTAGGCGGTTTTCTTTTCTTAACCGTTACATTCTAACCTCCTATGAGCTGAATCGGCATCATGCAGGTACAAAGCTACCCAGAGCCAGCAGTAGCTGGTGCTTTCTGGGCTCCCTGCTTGTTGCTTAGCTGAGGACATCCTCTGAATTTGGGAGCAATTTGGAGGTGGGGCGTCTGGAGCAGGCTGGCTAAATCCACACACATTCTAGGAAGGAACTAGGGGGCAGGCAGTTTCCACATCAGCGGAAGCCTCTTTCAGTTGCCAAATGGCTCAGTAGCCTGCTTGTCGGAAAGTCCTTGAGCACGTATTAAAAATTCAGCAGATCCAAACATTGTCTTTTCATGTACGTGTCACTGAATCGGGAGATTTTGTTTTGGGGCTTATAAGTAAATGGGGACCAGCATGTATTCCTGAACACACCATCACCTTTCTAGAAAGGAGATTATAAAAGTCCTAATAATTTGTTAAATGGCCTTTTATCTGTAACATTTTAATTTCAGATGATGTGTTGATTTTTTGAATTATGTAATAGATATTTTCTCTTTAGGAATGTAAATCTCATTTATTCTTTATAATAAAAATGCAGATGATGAATTAGCCATGCAGCATATAACTATACACATTATTTTAAAAGAAAGTAACTTTAATTTGAAAAATAAAGATAAGAGCAGTTTGGTGAAAGATAACAGAAGAAAGGAATTCCCAAATGGGTTTTTAAATGAGAGCCAGAGAGTTAAGTTTTGGGTGCTTTTCTCTCTCGGAGTCTAGGACCCCCAGTGTTCTTCTTGGGTCCAGGGACCATTCTTTGTTGCCGTTGGATAGTACAAAGAGTCAGGAACCTCATACATAGCAGTAGGAATTCCTCTCTTTCTTTGCAACCAAAATGCAGAGGGAGAATTTTCCCTAGATCTGATCATTGGAATTTCGTGTTGCCCCCTGTGCCTGAGCCATGTCTTGTTACCTCTGGCCTTGTGGCCTTGTTCTCACCAATTTTTATCTCAGGATCTGCAGTCCTGCTCCAGAACAGCCCAGTGGACCCTGCCCTGTGCCTCTGGCCTGTTCGCTCTTGCATTTATCCTGCCTGGGTTCTAGTGGAGTAGCCAGACACTCCAATATGAACCTCCCTGATGCTAACACATGTGCTGGCCAACTGTTAGTTTTCAATTGGCCATCATCTGAAGCAGCATTTTCTGTTAGTCAGACAAGATTTCTTCATTTTGTCTACCTCATTTTACTTCATGCCAGTAGTGAAAGTTTTATTCTTTAAAGTTTCTCTCATACAGTTTTCTGTTACAGGAATAGATTAATTAGCCTATGGTGGATTAATACATATATAATTAATAAATTAGGATCAGAAGGTATATATTCTTGGCTTCTGCAAATACACATTTACAGTAGAATCTGTTTTGTTTTCATTGTGATTGCTTTGGGGATAATATGGTTGCACTAATCTCTCCCCATCCTAGTTTATATTTAAAAAGCTTCAGGTTGAAATATAACATCTTTAAAGTTGTTATGTAATACATTAGTTGCCTTTGAAAAAATAAAATACCAGAATTCAAACAAAATCGTTTTTGCCATTTTAATGCCTGAACATGTAAAATGTTTACTGGTTGGTTAGAGGAAGTGAATTTGCCCTAGTACAGTTATTCTCTGGAGAAAGCCATTCCTGTTAAACTGCAGAAGCACGTTTTCATTAAATACAAAACAGCAGTAGGTGAGAGCAGTAGCCAGCTGACAGAAAAGGCATTTGATAAACTGTGGTATGTTTAAAATATGTTACCTGCACTATAGCCCCATATTCAATTTACTGTGTGGCTTTCAACAATTAATGTGACAGATGGCTTCCAGCAGCATTGGAATTCTGATCTTTTGTGTCAAACTTGATAAGTTTGGCAGCTGCTCTGGAAGGTTGTGGTGTCAACCTGTCCATCAGCTATTTGTACTTTGGTTCCAGTTGATGAGAGATGGCCATGACTGTAAGAGTAGTTCTCATCTTCTTGAAAGGAAGCATCTTGGTTAGAATCTTTAATTCCAAAACATGCTTTGGAGAGAGAGATATGTGGTATTGCTATACAAAGACCCATCTATCTGGCCAGTCTACAAGGCGTTGAAGTCACTGACAACAGTAGTAGTTTCTATGTCTGCTCTTTCTATAGTATGTGGAATATATATAGTATATATTATTTTCCCCAGTTTTAAAAAGTAAAACATGTCAAAGATTCATAAAAGGTGGAAGAATGCATAATGATTTCCTTTTTGTTTACCACTGAGAGTCAACGGATTTTAACATTTTGACATCTGTGTGTCTGATTATACTTTATCTGAATCACTAGTTCTCAACCTGGGGTGATTTTGCATCACTTCCCTGGACATTTGGCAATACCTGGGGACATTTTAGGTGGTTACAACTCAGAGAGTGCTACTGCATTTCGCGGGTAAAGGCCAGAGATGCTGCTAAACATGGTTCAGTGCACAGGAGAACCCTTCCACAACAACACAGAATTATCCACCCCCAAATGTCAACAGGACCATGATTGAGAACTAAAGGGTGCGTGTGTGTATGTGTGTGTGTGTGTGTGTCTGAACCAATTGAAAGTGAGTTGTAGACATAATTACACTTTACTTCTAAATAACCTGACAAGGCCATGTTATTTAAAGCAAAAAAAAAAAAAAAAAAAAAAAAAAAACCCACACAAAAAACTCAAAGAGAAGAGTCTCCAGAAATGGGTTAGAGAAGAAAGACACAAAGGGAAAAGTGCTAGAAAATTACATACAGGGGAAGGGAAGAGTCCAGCATATAAGGAAAAGGTGAAATCTGTTGGAAAACCTGATTGAGTTGTTGGTCACATCTGGGTCCTTGGCAGAAATGATCTGTATGGTTGTTCCAATCGCCACATCCTCAGGCACCTCCACAAAGTAAAACCCAGGTTCAAACACGGGGGGCTCGTCCACGTCTTCCACACTGATGTGCACTGTTGTTGTGTCCTGAAATGGGCCCAAGTTCAGAAAACGCATCTCTAGGTGAGGATTGGCTCCCTCCACCTTTAAGGTGTAGCTTTTCTTGCTTTCAAAACTCAGGGGCTGAAAAGTAATGACAGGAAAGTTGATTTGCCACTGAGGTTCAAGATTCAAAATATGTCAAGGTTCAAAAGGATGCCCAGTATTGATGGTTGGTGGGAAAATTCTCCAGTTCATTAAGTGGGAAAAAGGTAAAGGGGAAAGAAGGGAAATCTTTGTCTTTTTCTGTAGTTCTTGGTCTTAATGTCAGTTTCAACACTTTGGGTAAAGAAGGTAAGATGTCAGTCACTGCAGATACAGTTAAGGAAGCCAGTTTGATAATAGTTTTTCCTATTATTCTGGGCAAACTTGGCTTTAACTTGTCTACTCTTCAATCAGCCTGGTCTTTAGAGAGATCCTAAGAATGCCCTCAGTCGTGGGCCCAATTTGCCTGGGACTGTCTCAGTTATAAAATGAAGAGTTTCATTTCCTGGGACTCTATTCTGTTCCAGACAAACCAGGACAGTTGGTCACCTTATCTTTAGAGGTGCTTGCTCATTTGAAAAGACTTGACAACAATTAAGAGCAAGTTTGTTTTCCAAACACAAACTTCCGTATATATTCCATATATCTATTCTTTCTCTCTCTTTCTTTCTCTCTCTCCCTTCCTTCCTTCCTTCCTTCCTTCCTTCCTTCCTTCCTTCCTTCCTTCCTTCCTTCCTTTCTCTTTCTTTCTTTCTTCTAGAATATTCATGCAACTGAGGCCTAGGCTTTTGTTTTTTTCCTTAAAAAAATTATTCTTGAGTACAAACGCAATATTGATTATTTACAAGAAACTGTCACACAGGGTTCTGAGGTGCTGTGTCAGATCAATGTTTGTATATTTCGTTCATCATACACGATCCCTTTTATTGTTACTATTACTTTTTGAGATGGAGTCTCAGGCTAGAGTACAATGACGCGATCTCAGCTCACTGCAGCCTCCACTTCCCAAGTTCAAGTGATTCTCCTGCCTCAGCCTCCCAAATAGCTGGGATGACAGGCATGTGCCACCATACCTTCCTAATTTTGTATTTTTAGTGGAGATGGGGTTTCGCCATGTTGGTCAGGCCAGTCTCGAACTCCTGACCTCAGATGATCCACCCTCAAGGTCAACCTTCCAAAGTGCTGGGTTTACAGACATGAGCCACCACACCTGACCAACAATCCCTTTTAAAATCCTTATTTGACCTTTTAGAGTTGAAGAACCCAAGACTCAGGAAGCTCAGAAGCCTGGCGTACGCTGATGTGGTTATAGCTCATCATCAAGGACTTTAATTTTGTCTGTAAAATTCCATCGCATAAAATATAATGTTTTGGTTGTTCTCTTTTTTGGTTTATTCCTGTCTTCAGAATTTTTTTTTATAATTTTCAAAATAAATACAGTGCTCCAGGGCAGAGCATGAACTTAAAATGCCATTTCTGAAGAATAATCTATTTTTGTTTAAAGCTGATGAACATGTGTGTTTCAAGCAACAAATATTTCAGAACATCAATATTTTTTTAAAATCTCGGAATGTTAAGTCCCACAAAATAACAGTGGATAGCAAAGCAGTTACTAGAACTTAAAAGTTGTATGTCAACTTTTAAGTAATAACTTACATTTTTCTAGCTAAACATTACTTTTTTTCATAATATATGTTGAATGGCAGCACATTTCATGTTAGAGAGAGGCATGTACCCATTTAAACAACTGCTTTGCTTTTCAGAAAAAAAATCTCTAGGTGTTGCTTTAACTAGATTTGTTCTTTTCTTTCTTAAAAAAAAAAAAAATCAACTTTTTGGCCAGGAGCAGTGGTTCATGCCTGTAAGCCCAACATTGTAGGAAGCTGAGGTGGGAGGATCTCTTGAGGTTAGGATTTGGAGACCAGCCAAGACAACATAATGAGACCCACATCTCTACCAAAAATACAAAAAATTAGCTGGGCATGGTGGCATGTGCCTGTAATCCCAGCTATTTGGGAGGCAGAGGCAGGAGGATGGTTTGAGCTCAGTTTAGAGTGAGCTATGATGGCACCACTGCACTCTAACCTGAGTGACGGAGAGACACCCTGTCTCAAAAAAATTACGTTAAAAATGGATACTTAATAGATTTACGTATTTTCAGGGTACATGTAATAATACATTCATAATAATTGTTATTTTCAAATTTTAATAAGGTTTTTTTTTGTTTTGTTACGGTCGCTGGGTTACTGCTTATTTACTATTTACTTAGTGCCAGACATAGTGCTTCTTGTTTCATGAGTCGCCAGCCATTTCCATCCAAACCAAGAAGCCCCATTCAAACCAAGAAGCCATCTCCACCAGCCAGCCTGCCTCCCTAGTTGTCATTGAAAAGGCAAGGTTTTCGCAAACAGGGAAATCTGCCAGTCAGATTAATGATATGTTTGAAGGACTATTTTACCAGTTCACTTAATGCTTGCTCCCTAAATCAAAACATTTTTCTTTCCTGATAAATTACATTTATACGCTCTTAAAATTCTTTATGTATTTGTAACACAGTTGTGGACAATGTTGTTCATGTTAGGTTTGAGCTAGGCAAAACTTGTTTTCCCTTTAATTTTAAATCGTTTTTCTAATTTTGTGTGAAGTTTGTATGTTTTAAAAAATAAGATATTTACATACATTTATATATTTACATACATTAAAATTTCTTTTTTTAGTATAAAATTTGCAGGTTTTGAGTAGTGTATTGAGTCATGTGTCTACAGCAATAATCAAGCTGTAGAGCTGTTTCATCACCCCCGTGACCCTCACTCTGTGCCCCTTTGTAGTCAACCTCTCCCCTGCCACCCAGCCCCTGGCAAACACTGATTTATGTCCTGTTTTTATTGCAAGAATGTCATATAATGTCATATAAATTACATTCAGTATGTAATCTTTTGAGTTAGGTTTCTTTCACTTAGCATTTGAGATTCATCCGTGTTGCATGAGTGAGGAGTTTTTTTTTTGTTTTTTTTTTTTTTTTGAGACAGTCTCACTCTGTCACCCAGGCTGCAGTGCAGTGGCGTGATCTGGGCTCACTACAACCTCTGCCTCCCAGGTTCAAGCGATTCTCTTGCCTCAGCCTCCCAAGTAGCCACCACGCCTGGCTAATTTTTGTATTTTTAGTGGAGGCAGAGTTTCACTATGTTGGCCAGGCTGGTCTTGAACTCTTGACCTCAGGTGATAGGTCCACCTCGGCCTTGGCCTCCCAAAGTGCTGGGGTTACCGGCGTGAGCCACTATGCCCGGTGAGTTTGTTCGTTTTTATTTCCAAGTAGTATTCTATTGTATGGATATACAACAGTTGATTTATCCATTCTTCACTAGAGATAACATTTGTGTTTTTTTCCAATTTCTGACAGTTATGAATAAACCTGCTATAAATATTTGCATACAGGGTTTTTGTGTGAGCATAAAATTTCATTCCACTGGGGTAAATACCCAGGAGTGGAGTTGTAGGATTGTAAATATATTTTTAACTTTATAAGAAACTTCCAGATGAATTTTCAGAAAGGCAGTACCAGTTTGAATTCCCACCAGGAGTGTATGAAAGCTCTAGTTTCTCCACATCTTTGTCAGCACTTGGTTTTGCCAGTTTAAAAATTTTTATGTATCCTAGTATGTGTAAAGTGTTATCTCATTGTGGTTCTGATTTGCACTTCCTTACTGCCTCATGATGCATCTTTCTATGTCTTCTTGAAGAGGTCTTTGTATATTCTTTATTCAAGTCCATTATCAGACATATGATTTGCAAATATTTTCTCCTAATCTGTGATTTGTCTTTTCATTCTCTTAACAGTGTCCTTTTTTAAAATTATTATTATACATTAAGTTCTGTGATACATGTGCAGAATGTGCAGGTTTGTTACATTTTGCCATGGTGGTTTGCTGCACCTATCAACCTGTTGTCTACATTAGGTATTTCTCCTAATGCTGTCCCTCTCCTAGCCTCCCATCCCGCGACAGGCCCTGGTGTGTGATGTTCCCCTCCCTGGGTCCATGTGTTCTCATTGTTCACCTCCCACTTATAAGTGAGAACATGCAGTGTTTAGTTTTCTGTTCATATGTTAGCTTGCTGAGAATGATGGTTTCATCCATGTCCCTGAAAGGACATGAACACATCCATTTTTATGGCTGCACAGTATTCCATATTGTGTATGTGCCATATTTTCTTTATCCAGTCTATCATTGTTGGGCATTTGGGTTGGTTCCAAATCTTTGCTATTGTGAACAGTGCTGCAATAAACATACGTGTGCATGTGTCTTTATAGTAGAATGATTTATAATCCTTTGGGTATATACCCAGTAGTGAGATTGCTGGGTCATATGATAATTCTGGTTCTAGATCCTTGAGGAATCACCACACTGTCTTCCACAATGGTTGAACTAATTTACACTCCCACCAACAGTGTAAAAAAGCATTCCTATTTCTCCACATCCTTTCCAGCATCTATTGTTTCCTGACTTTTTTAATGATCGCCATTCTAACTGGTGTAAGATGGTACCTTAATATGGTTTTGATTTGCATTTCTCTAATAACCAGTGATGATGAGCTTTTTTTCGTATGTCTGTTGGCTGCATAAATGTCTTCTTTTGAGAAGTATCTGTTCATATCCTTCACCCACTTTTTGATGGGGTTGTTTTCTTTTCTTGTAAATTTGTTTAAGTTCCTTGTAGATTCTTGATATTAGATCTTTGTCAGATGGATAGATTGCAAAAATTTTCTCCCATTCTGTAGGTTGCCTGTTGACTCTGATGATTGTTTCTTTTGCTGTGCAGAAGCTCTTTAGTTTAATTCAATCCCATTTGTCAATTTTGGCTTTTGTTGCCATTGCATTTGGTGTTTTAGTCATGAAGTCTTTGCCCATGCCTATGTCCTAAATGGTATTGCCTAGGTTTTCTTCTAGAGTTGTTACGGTTTTAGGTCTTATATTTAAGTTTTTAATCCATCTTGAGTTAATGTTGTATAAGGTATAAGGAAGGGGTCCAGTATCAGTTTTCTGCCTATGGCTAGCCAGTTTTCCCAACACCATTTATTAAATAGGAAATCCTTTCCCCATT